CCATCCATCCAACACATCCACCCATCTGCCCAGCCATCCAACACGCCCATCCACCTGTCCATCCAATACAGCCACCTGTCCATTCAACACATCCACTATACCATCCACCCAAAATACTCATCCACCCTCCCATCCATCCATTCATCCATCCAACATGCCCACACATCCACCCAACACACCATGAATTCATCCGTCCATCCATCCAACGCACTCATCCATCTGTGGTTAGATGTTGATAGATATTTGGCTGCGTGTGTGTGTTCCCTCTGTGTGCCGCCCTAGCCCTGTGCAGACAGCTGGCACAGCAGACCTTGAGCGAACCGCCCAATGAGCACAAGATCTGTTAGGGGATGAAGGCACCCAGCCAGGTTTATTGTTGACGAAGCACAGTACTAGTATCCCGCAGACTACTGGACCACTAATACATGTATGCCCATAACAATGGACCAGCTCAGTGAATGGTGGGACTTTCTGTTCCTCCCTAGACCAGACAAAGATACTCCCTCTGAGGTACCATTTTATACACCGATACAAACAAGTTCCCTATTTCCCCTCTAACATAGTTACTGCCTCCTGCTGTGGTGAATTATCACCCATCACCTTATACATGTTGGTTCGATCAAAACATCTCTATTACATACTACAAAAGCAGTTTCTCCTCCCTTGGTGTTCACACCTCAACTTCTAGAAGAGGGCCTCATCCTCCCTGATTGAACTAACCTCGTTATCTCTAGACTGATTCTTGCCTGCATATTTATACCTGCCTCTGGAAATTTCCATTACATGCGTCTGACGAAGTGGGTATTCACCCACGAAAGCTTATGCTCCAATACATCTGTTAGTCTATAAGGTGCCACAGGACCCTGTTGTCTATTACGTACTGTCATCCTGACCTTATCTTTTAGGAGGGGTCAGTGTGTTCCTGTTATCCTTGGGAAATGTTTTTGTACCATCCTTGATATCAGGATGTTCTGGTACCACTTGATATCGGAATGTGTTTGTGTGAGCACTCTGTGCCTAGCACTTCTTAGGAATGTGTATTTCTGCAATATCAACCCTATTCTTGCCAGATTGTGTGAGCGGGTCCTGCCTCATACCAGGCCTCTGATACGAGGGCTTATGTCTCAGGCTCTCTTCCTACTACACCATCCACCACATCCATCCACCACATTCATCTATCTGCCCAACCATCCAACACACACATCCATCCATCCAACACACTCATTCTTCTGCCCAACCATCCATCCATCCAACACACTCATCCATTTGCCCAACCATCCAACACCCATCTACCCATCGAACACACTCCTCCATCTGCCCAACCATCCATCCAACACACTCATCCATCCATGAAACACACTCATCCATCTAACATGCCAATCCATTCATCCATCTGCCCAACAATCCATCCAACACACTCATCCATCTGCCCAACCATCCAACACAACCAACCACCCATCCAACACACTCATCCATCCATCCACCCAACACACTCATCCACCCATCCATCCATCCAACACACTCATCCATCTGCCCAATCATCCAACACAACCGCCCATCCATCCAACGCTCTCATCCATCTGCCCATCCAACACAACCAACCATCCATCCAACATGCTTGTTCATCCATGCAACCCTCGCATTCACCTGTCCATCCAACACACCATCCATCCAACAAACTCATCCATCCGCCCATCGTCCATTCACCCATGCAATGCACCCACTCATTCATCCACCATCCATCCATGCAATATACTCATCCTTCTACCCACCCATCCAAAATATCTGTACAATGTCCCCCCACATCCATTCTCCCCCTCTGAGCACTTACCCACCTGCCCCTCACTGAGGGGGAGGGTGATTCTGTCTCCAGGCTGTTTCTATGGTGGGCTGCATCTCCCCATGCCCCTCGTCCCTTCCCCAGACGGCCCACCTGCCCCTGCAGCAGTTCTGCGCCCACACGGATGTCCTAGGAATGACTGCCTATGTCCCCTCCTCCCCAGGTATGAAGCTGCCCTCCACTTGCCCCCTGTACCCGTGTCCGCCTGTGTCCCCCGTGGGCGTGCACCAGCTGGTGGAGTCCATCAGTGCCCTGCAGGGGGAGAGGAACAAGCTGGTGGAGGAGATCACAGGCCTGAGGCAGCAGCTGGAAGAGGGGGAGAAGGAGAAGCAGCAGCTGGCAGGGAGCTTCGACGTGCAGGTGAGAACCAGGGGCCGGCGCTGCTGGTAGAGCCACGGCAGGTAGGGGCGCCAGCGGGAATGATGCTCTTGCTGAGGAGAGGCTGGCGGGGCCCACAGCAGAGCCCCGGGAAGGGGAGTAGACCCCGAGGATGGAGACGACTCCACAGGTGGGATCTCCGCTTGCAGGGCAGGGATGGATGAGCCCCGGGGTGAGAACCCGTCCCTTCAGCGCCCCGAGCTGTAGAGGAACCCCGGCTAACAGGCACCGGCCTCATCCTCACGGCGCTCTGGGCCATGGGGGGCACTGGGCTCACACCCGCCAGCCAGCCCCTTAGGCCCTGGGGCTGTCCCTGCCCTGCCCCTGCGCCCCTCCATCGGCAGTGCCCCTGTCTGTGGGGAGGGGGC